GACGTGTCGATTTTCACCGGGATTTAACAATTAGACCTTACAATCTCCCACGTGCCTCAAATATTAATAAGTTTGTATTTGCAACTAATGAAATATTAACATATATTAGTTGCAAATACACCGTCAGTGCTGATTTACTAGAAAAGGACGTGCACAGACCTGTCCAATTGCACTCATTCGTTTCCCCTGGCTCCCGCTTGTTATATTGACGCGAGTAACTGGCGATAGTCACCTCGTGCGGGTTCAGACGTTCAGCTTGTAGTATTGATGCGATATTGATACGAATAACTAGTGACCAGTAGCCACTTTGTGCTGGTTCCGACGCTGTGAACCCGGACGATGCCCTAGATACCCTAGATAAATAATAAAACTGTCAGCCTCCCAAAAGCAACTTAGCCCACTCACTCTCAAATTCTAGTACTCAAAACTGCAAGGCCAACAACGAGACCATCCTCGTTCTCAGGACACATACTTGGGATTGCCCTTCCAGCACGGGGCACGTATATACACCATTAACTTCTCCCACATGGAATATGAATACATCGATATACAGGAGATTTGAGACCTCTAACAGACCTTGCAAACAAAATCGTGCAAGAACGGTCTGACATCCTCGCGAGAGAATTTGGCTTGCTGGTGTGGAAAGAGATCAGCAGATGCTTTCCCGAAGATTCCAGTGAAATTACAAGAGGTAATATCAGGTGTTTTATCATTATTGATTTCTTCTCACCTTCACGATGACAAACCCATAATATGTATCATGTTGCAGAGTCATAAATATTGGGGGAGAAGGGGCATCCATCTTCAGCCTCCCCTTGTCATTAAGAACTTCAGATATTTATTCAGAACTCGCTAAGTCGGAGCCGGTGAGTGCTATGTGCAACGGGGAAATAATACGATTCCACTCTCGGACCAAGTGTCGCAATTATATATGTACGCCATCCTAACTGTATAGTTATAAAGGCGGCTACATTATGACGGCTTGTTTGAACTTATCTCTCCAGTTTTTATTCCCAGTTTTCTCCACGATATCCGGAAAGTCGGTAGTGGCTCAAATGTCATGGTTCTGGGATGGAATACTCCAGACATGGCCACCGGCATATGTTTAATGGGGCCTGAGAAGTATGGTGGGATTGGAGTTGTGGAGAATGATATCACCGAAGAATACGATACATCTTGGGATCTGTACAAAGGTGACGGGCCAGTTACGAAGGAGCCTCGACCCAATGCTTTGAAGCTAATGCATGTGGAGAAGGCCTCGTATGCAGTTAGCATAGCGAAGGAGGCTAGTGAGCGCCCGACTCTGTCGAGAGCTTGGGCTGCTTTAGCGTTAACAGGGGTTCTGGTTTTATTTACATTACGTCATGGCTGCTCAAGGACGACGTCTAGTACTCGGGACAAACTACACGTAGCTGCCCAGGTCTTTTATAATGCCAATGACCTGCTCCTCGGAACAGTGTATGTCAGTTCGTACCAGGCTCTTAAGGCCAACCTGGGGCCATTTAAACCCTTTCACACATTGTTGCTCGTCCCTACCCTGGACCGATTGAAGTGGCACACAATATCTTCCGCATCGCCGCACGGATCCAAGTTTATTTCCGATGAATATCCCAGAGGGATCAGCGTAGACAAGATCGATACTATAAGGCATTTAACTTATCACCTGTGTATTGTTATCCATGTAACGATTTTCTTTTCTCAGATGCGTCCCACAATAGATTAGTCCGTTTGCAGAGAACTTGGTCCAAGCGACGCAACAGATCGAGATTGAATTGGCTTTTACAACTGATAACCTAATAATCGGTCCTGAAGGAACATATCTTACGAATGTATATTACGCCGGAAACTTTCAATTCAACCCCTTTCGGTCTCTGATACCGTGGATAAGGTGAGGCACGGATATCTCTTCATGGCATCGGTTGCTGTGATATATTCAGCTTCGGCGGGTGATAGCATGTCCACCGGCTGCTTTTTCGAACTCCAGGAAACCGCGCCTCTATCCATGGTGGAAAAACATCCCGATATTGAATATCGATGCTCTTGTGAATCCCAATCGGCGTTGGTGAATCCGTCGATACTGCTACTTGTCCCGTCTCGTCTGTCCCTGAGTACTAACCAATGATTTTTAGTTCCTTTCAGATCCCGGAACACTCTTGAAGGCCTCTTAATGTCGTCGTCCCGCGTCTTGCATAAATTGCGAAAATAGTGAGCCCACAAGTGTGATATCAGGTCGCATCCCCAGCGTGGCATACATCGGCGAGCCAATAGCTTCGCGATAAGGTACGTTGCACATTTCTTTGTACTGTCTTGGCATATTTGATGATTGTGCCGTTGAGAGATGTTGATGGGGGTCGAGTGATGTCATGAACGGTTTTGCGTCTTGTAGGCCAAAACGCGCAATTATCTTGTATATATGCGTATTGCCATAGCGAAATTACTTGTGTGTCACGATCTCTTGTCACTTCAATTTCCAATAGCCATTTAAGTTCTCCTTCGAGTTTACTGCCAGTGTCATCGTATACATCCACGGCGACGATAAGTGTGTTTTCGTTCGCATACCTGAAAAGTACAGCGTCCTTGACATAAACATTCCTTTCCAAGGAATTCGAGTCCCTTGGATTGGCACATGTAAATGCTGCATCTACATCGATCTGTTCGAGTTCCCAGTCATTACGGGCAGCGATAGCGGTGATAACGCAGATGGCGGTCAGCTTAATGGCATGTGAGAACATTTCATTATCATCGATTCGTACTTGCTGAGAGAATCTTTGCGCAGCGAACCTAGATCTGTAGTCGGTTATCTCACCGTTGGGACCATGCTTGTAAGCACAATGGATTTGCAGCCCATGGTGTTCGTGTCAGCCGGTGTGTCGACAAATTCCCAATTGCCTGGATTATCGTGATGTTGCATCTTTAGTGACATCTTCCATTTAGGGAAACCCTGGCGGCGTTTCGTGTCTTGGACATTAGCGGACAGTTGTGGCCATCACGTTCTCAAGTGTTGTCGAAAAATGCCGGTGTGTTTTCCTCGAATTTTTGAAGCAGATCACTTCGTGCTTGCTGGATGTCACTCGAGATCGGGGGTTATTGTAAAGTGGTCATGTCATTTTGTACGACATGCTGGATGCCTGTAGGTTTATTCCCTCCCTCAGCCGGTATGTCCTTCAAAACGGTAGCGGTCGATTCATTGAACCGAACGCTCCACCCGACGTTTTGCCTCTTCGACATTTGCTGGCGGATCATCAAATTATTGCATTTCCGGGGGGTCCATTCCCTCCCTTAATCGGCGTGTCGTTCAAAATGACTACGTTTGATCCACCTGGGGCCAACATCTCGTTCGACGGGGAACGCCGGTCCATTATTGGCCTGCCTCAGTCGGTCCATGTCCGCTCGTGATATCACGGACGTATACAGACGGAATGCACGTCTGATTGGTCCTCCCTGACATGTCCGACTCTGGAGTCGGCGTGGTGTCCTCAAGATCCTCAGGAGGTTCCATCCTTGCATGTGGGATCTCATCTCATGGTCCATGTTGTGTGGGTGTGTCGGTCAGCGTGTTTTGTACAACGCGTTGGGGGCTCGTAGGTCCTTCCCTCCAACCGGTACGTCGTTCAAAGTGGCGATGACTGAGTCATTGAACTTCATGTTGCGCTCTATGGTGGCGTGTTGTTTTCCCGGCCAATAAACGCGGTGCCCCCTTTTTTTGCTGTTGAACCTTACCCGCCCTTCGTTGGCCTTGGGTTCTAGTTTTAGTTTTCCGCGATTTTCTTTGAAGGCGACGAATCGATGGCGCTTAGTTGGCATGTGGTTGGATCCTGCAACATCATATACATCAGTTTCAATGTGCTTGGGTACACTCGTTTCCTGTGATAAGGTGGGTCTGGTGAATGTTGTCATTAATGCAAAAACCATACTTGACATGGCGAAGTTGGTAGGCCCAGAAACCACAAAAGGCTGGAAAGATCACTGGAGAACACCAAATGCTGGAATTGTGGGGACATGGGTCACATGTCAGCCGACTGTCGCAAACCGAAGAAAAAGGGCGACAAAAGGGATATTACTGTGAATGGTAACATGGGCGGGAATGTGAACATCACCATGTCAAGTATGTATATGATTCAGCAGCATCGAACCACATCCCAACTAACCGCCATCGACTCCTTACCTTCAAAGAAAACCGCGGGGAAACAAGAACCCAAGGGTTATGAAGGGCGGGTAGGATTCAAAATCACTATTCGCGATGTGGCTATGAGACGGCTGTGCCGCTACATCCCTACAGACAATGACCCGGCCAACCTATTCCAAAGTATAACAAATATTAATCTCAGTCGACACGATGGAAGAATCGACTGAGGTGCAATGGCGTTGGAAAGCCTAGTATTTATACAAAAGGAAACAACAAAGACGCAAATAGAACAAAGGAAATTGTAAGCCTGGTAGCATACCGATTACAGTACCACAGGCGCATAGTACTTTTTTAGATAGATCGTTTTTACTTACCGCCATCATCGTATATCTTACTCGCCGTTCTCAAGGAATACAGTTTGGTCCTGTCAACGTCTGGACCGATGCCAATGTAAGGCTGCATTGGACAGCAGCCTTTCAGAAATCGTTCGAACAAAAGGAAACTGTTCGAACAATGGGCGCAAATCATGACTGCGAATTGCCTTGTGTTTGATATATTGACTTGTTATGAATTTATCCTTTTGGCACTGTAAATACTAGTACAGGGTGCAGTATGACGGGTGTATGGAATGTGGGAAAAAATTCCAGCAGAATGGGGTGTCATTGTTCAGTATCTATTAGAATGTACCCCCATTTAACCACGCCTTGGTAGCTCAATGGTAGAGCGTCAGATTCTTACAGTCCCTCTGACCGGGTAAGAATCGGAAGGCTGCGGGTTCGATTCCTGCGCGAGGCAACATTTTTATCCCGTTAAATTCCAGCAGAATGTGGTGTCATTGTTCAGTATCTATTAGAATGCATGTACTATCAATCATGCCTCGGTAGCTCAATGGTAGAGCGTCAGACTCTTACAGTCCCTCTGACCGGGTAAGAGTGTGAAGGTTGCGGGTTCGAGTCCTGCGCGAGGCAGTATTTTTATCCCGTTAATCACCAAGAGTCTAGTCCCTATTGAACCAGATATATGTCTTTTTCTGAGGGCGCGAGATATTTTTAACCATTATGGAATAGCCACCAAACATGCATATGCAGAACTACATAGAAGTTCAAAGGTCGCACTCCAAGATACATTGCTTAGCCTTATGAATTTATCCTTTTCTCACTATAAATAGTACCACAAAAAGGAAGGTGTATATGACAAGAATAGCAGACAAGTAGAATGTTGACAACTGTGGTGTCGTTGTTCATTATCTATTAGAATGTAGATGCATTTGACCATGCCTTGGTAGCTCAGTGGTAGAGCGTCAAATTCTTACAGTCCCTCTGACCGGGTAAGAATTTGGAGGCCGCGGGTTCGATTCCTGTCCGAGGTAATTTTTTTATCCCGTTAAATTACGGGCTCAAGCCGCTACTCTCGCTACCTTTTGTCCTTTCCTCGTCGAGTGACGGAGAATGTATGCTAGCCTACCTGCCTGGTATTATTTTCTTTTCATGTTGATCGCAAGAAGTTGCATTCGCTGACTAACCCTCATAAGCGCCCAAGACGCGTCAGCGCGTCCCCCTCCCTCGCCCCTTCCGACTTTTAACAACGACCAACGCAAAAACCCAAACAGGATCTGCCATGTCAAAAGCAGCAGAAAAAGATGTCGAGATGAAGGATGCTGCAGATGCTAAAGACACAGAGAAAACGTCTTCGCCAGCTCCGAAGCCCCAGCCCCTCACACCCGCCGAGGAAATCAAGTCGAATATCACCCTTATAGAACGCGCTGTGTCGACGCTCGAACCGCGGTTTACACACAAGGTTTTGCGGACTCTGACGCAATTGCGGAGGCGGCTGGACGAGAAGGTGCTGAAGGAGGCCATTGGGGACGTGTATGCGAAAGGTGTGTGTGTGGTGTGGATTGCTTGCGTCGATTTCGCGGGTCGGGTGTCCCTGACGGTGCTTATGCAGACGGATCTGTGAAGAAGACGCTGCTCTCGTGGCTCTCGTCGAGCGATGCATCGATGGACGTTGACTCTGCGGCGCCACGGAGCGTCGCGAAGCCTGCGGCGTCGAGTGCGCCCGCCGCCGCCGCCGCCCTCGCAGAGCCGCTGCCGGAGACGGAGATGTATCTCCGGCTGCTGGTGCAGTACTACCTCCTTGACAGTGCCTCTGGACTGCCCCGAAAACGCGGCGGCGAGCCCGAGGCGCGCAGGCCCCCGGGGGCGTCGAGCGAGCCGTTGCTGGCCAAGGCGACTGCGCTGGGCCGGGAGACCGTCGAGCGGCTCCATGCGCTCAATCGGCGCAGTCTCGATCCCATCGCGGCGAAGGCTTGGTTCGCGCTCGGCCAGGCATACGAGCTGCTGGGGAGTTTGTGTGATTTGAGACCGTGAGTTGTTTTAGCCCATATACCTACATATAACCGGCTCCCACTGCGCACTGCTTACGATCCATCCGATCTGTTAGTCTCCTCCTCAACGCCCAACGCACCGCCTCCCTCCGCCACGACACCGAATCCCTCGCAACACTCATCAACCTCGTGCTCCGGTCGTACCTCCTCACCTCCTCGTACAGCGCTGCATCGACGTACCTCTCCAAGGTCACCTACCCCGATTCGTCGGTCGTCGGCACCGGTGGCGGCGGGAACGGCACCGGCACCGGCAGCACCACGCCCTCGCCGTCAAACCAGCTGCTATCCAGCAGCAACTCCTCGCCTGCCCAGCTTGCGCGGTACCTCTACTATGTCGGGCGGATCAGGGCCATCGAGCTGTCGTATACGGCTGCGCATAACCATCTCTTGCAGGCGGTTAGGAGGGCGCCGAAGGCGGAGCAGGCTCCCGGATTTTGGCAGGAGGTGGGTGGGGTGCAATGCTGTGTGGACGTGTGCTGGATTTTTTTTTCATTTTTTCATGATTATGATTAGGTGCACAAGTGGCTTGTGGTTGTTGAGCTGCTTATGGGCGATATTCCCGAGCGGAGCACGTTCCGCCAGCCGGTGCTGAGGAAGGCTCTGGAGGGGTATTTTGAGATTGTGAAGGGTATGTGTGTTGTTGTTGTTGTTGTTGATTCCCTGGCTCTTTGCTGGACGCTGAAATTCCGCGCACTCGCCAGCGGTGCGAACGGGCTCGCTGTCCCAGTTCCAGAGCACCCTCTCGAGGTACAGCACCACCTTTGCCGCGGACAAGACCTACACGTTCATCCTCCGTCTGCGTCAAAATGTGATCAAGACTGGTGAGTGCTGTTTTTTAGAGATGGATTGTTCCCCCCCGAACGTGCCACAATGACGCACGACACGCAGGTATCCGCCGGCTCTCTCTCTCCTACTCCCGTATATCCCTCCGCGAGATCTGCGTGAAGCTCCACCTCGACTCGGAGGAAGACGCAGAGTATATTGTCGGGAAGGCGATTAGGGATGGCGTTATTGAGGGGAGGTACGTGGCGTTTGCCATCGTGCATATATACATACATATATAACCCTTGTTATGCGTTACGCAGAGTCGTGCACGAACGCGGCTGGATGGAGTGCGGATCCGGGACAAAAGGCGCGTATGGGGTGGAGGTCAGCGATGCGTTTAATCGGCGGATTGGGTTCTGCTTGCAGCTGCACAATGAGAGTGTCAAGGTACGCTCCTCCCCCGTTTTTAGTCTGCTTTTACCCTGCGGTGCTGAGTGTTTTTCGGCTGTTTTGCACTGGCAGGCGATGCGGTACCCGCTCAACGCACACCGGAAAGAGCTCGCCGCTGCTGAGGGCGCGAGGGAGAGGGAGAAGGAGCTTGCGAAGGAGATTCAGGAGGGGGAGCTGGATGACGATGAGGATATGTTTGAGTAGGAGATGTATATATCGCGGGGGGGTGGTCGACTAATTATCTCTGGCTTGCTCCAATGTCACGGTGTAGTTTCCGGCTACGACTTTTTAACAAAAAGAAAGGAGAATACCTCAAACCATCACTCGGACGCAGAAAAATAGGATAATATACATCATTTCATTTCAAGGGCGTCAGCTCCGAGTGCTTATATGTGCAAGTGGTATGCTAAGAGTGCTACTAGTATGAGAGGAACAAGATGGGACTGGAGCTAGTCAGAGGTAGTAATACGAAAAGCGGGCTGGCAAGTGGTAGGTAGGTGTGGTAATACGGGGTACGGGTTAAACGTTCGTGGGGGGGAGGGATGGTAATACGAGTAAGTCGTAACGGGGTGGGGTAAAGGATGGGGATGGGGGAATAAGGTAGACTAGGGCAGGCGTATATGTCCGTTTTTGAGCCTTGATATCTGAGATGTGTGGGGGTGGTGTTTGGTGGTGATAAACCCGACACCTTGCCCACGAATTGTCCGGAGGGGGAATCGGGGAATAGGACAAAAGAGAAGCGAGGCGAGAGACATCAACAACATAAAGGTGGAAGGGGGCAGAGATATAAAAAAAAAAGGAAAAGAAACACGAGATACGCGTGGACGGCTTTATCTATCCCTACCCACGGATCATAACCACGAGCACCGCACCCTACCGCCTGATATCATCATAGCTCGGCGGGACCTCGATAGTCTCCGGCTGCTGCGCACTGCCCCCCGCCTCGTCCTGGGGAATAACACCCGCATCCTCGTGCTGCACCCAATTCACAGGGCGCAGCATCGAGCTCGGCGCGCCCTTGCGGGAGGTCTGCGTCTGGCTGTGCGGCGTGCCGCTCCTTGCGCCGCCGAGGAACGGCCCCGTCCCGGTGCGCGTGCTCTCGCTCAGGTCGCGCTCGAGGTCCTGGTCCGTCATCGACAGCGCGCTGTACCGCCGCCCGAGGTCCGACATGCTCGGGCGCGTGCGCGGCCCCGAGGTGCCGTCCTCCGCGGACACGTTGCGCGAGTGCGTGCCGCTGATGCTCGAGAGGATGTACGGCTCGGGCTGGTAGAACTCGGGCGGCGCGTCCGCGTGGCCGGTCGCGCTGCCGCTGCCGCCGGCGTCGGGGAGGAGGTCGACGGTGTCGTGGTGCATGCGCTTCCGTCGGCGGATGAAGAAGAAGCCCGCGAGGCCGACGACGACGATTGCTGCGAGGCCGCCTACGATGCCTGCGGCGATCGCTGCGACGTTGCCGCTGGAGCCGCGGCTGGTGTTGTTGTTGTTGTTTCCGCTGCCGCTGCCGGTCTCTACGGCACCGGCGGGCGTGCCTGCGGTGGAGCTGGGGGACGTGGCGTTGATGCACGAGTCGGCGCCATTGCCTACGGCAATGTTGACGCTGCCGCCCGTGCCGGGCCCGCGGTTGTCGCCGGCAACGAGGATGATGTTCGTTCCGGCGCGGACGTTGGGTGTCCAGGGGAAGCCGGTGGTCCCGCCGTCGGCAGGGGAGGTTGTGCCCACTGGGACGAGGGAGGACTGGCCGCCGGGTATGACGAGAAGGATTGTGGGGACGCTGGGGAGCATGTTCAGCATAAAAATGGCGCATGGTACGTAAAACTTCACCCTTGTGTGCTGTTATCCCATGCGAGTGTCGTTTGCTGACATTGGTTGATGGCGCTGTTTGGGATGATCTGGAATGAGAAGGAGGTCGCGACGGATTTGGGGAGACAGCTCGAGTTGTTTGTAGCCGAGGCTGCGACATTGGTGGGTGCGCTTGTCCCGCCTGTTCCAATGCCCCTGCTGTCACTCACCTGTATAAGCGAAAAAAAAAGGCAAAGGCTGAGGTTGGGCTGGTGCCTCTCTAGATGGGCACAGACACACGCACCATTATGACAAAGCCCGCGTTGGCAGGAAAGGGGAGGTTAAAACTGGTCTGGGTATCGGTAAAGTTGTGTTGAATGACGGTGCGGACTTCGGTCTGTGTCGGTGAGGCACCGAATGGGACGACAAGTGCGGAATACGGGGGCGTGCCCTGACCTTGAGTTATGGCAATGGACAAGGGGCCACATTGGGTAGGAGCGGCTGTCAGATCGAAGGAGTAGGCTGTAGCTAGGGAGAGGGTGGAGAGTAAGGATAGGAGGAGGACCGTCGAGGCCATTGTAAACAATGAGGGAGGAGGGTAAAAATGGAGCTCGTCGCGGTTCACCGTCGTCTGTCGTCGTCCGTCGTGGTCGTGGTTAGAGATCAGTGGAGTGATAGAGAAAAAGGGATTAAAAAAAGAAGGGTTTAGGCCGAGGTGGAGCCCAGAGAAATTGCTTAGTCAGCGCAATAGGAATAGGTTCCGTTGGAGAACTGGACTTATCGGGAGCACTCAATATTCCAACATTGGCAACTAGTTATTATTAGGCAACGGTGGTTACCAACTATGGCAATGTTATTATCATACGGCTCTTGAAGTATGCCTTATGAGAACATACTATCTGAGAGCCGTGTGGTGGTTCACTACTAAATGGCGGAGTTCCGTGGGCACTCTGTATTGCTCCATTAACGTCGCCATTCATGCTATGCGGTGA